ACTGAGCCCTCATCGGGAGTCTACCCAATGACTAAGTAACACTAGAATGGTATGAGATCACCTTATCTTCCTCTGCCCACCCCAAAGAAATAAATCCACCCTTTAATAGGTTTTTAGCAAGTTCCCCATGTATTTTGTGTCTAGCCCCAATTTTCCAGGATCAAAGAAAGCGCCCATACATGTTCTGTGAAGCAAAGGAACTCAAAGGCTAGGCTTGCCAACAGAGGAAGACAAATACAGAGCTAATCTATTCCTTTCCTACAAAGCAATTGCTTTGAGCCCCTGGATGACGTCACTCAGATTCTGCCCAGACCAATGAGTTCCAGGAATCCTGTAGCAGGTGACGCCCCAGAAAGTAACTCCAGTGAGAATGAAGTTTCCATTGAAGCCACAGTTCTCTTCCTTCCGGACTTTGTGTGTGAATATTCGCGGATGCCTGGGGCTAGGGGCGGATCCGTGTCTCACTCAGCGAAGCTAATGGGAACTCAAGCAGAACAAAGGGCAAACAACCGCGGAGGTGCAAAGAGGTGGGGTCCTAAAGGAAAAAGGACCCAGGAATCCGTCACACGCTGGGTGCGGTGAAGGGAAAGGTGATTTGGCTAGGGAGGGCGGATCTAGCAGAAATCCTAGGTGTAAAGCTTAGGCTTCATCCAAAGGGTCCCGGAGAAATTTGACGACACCCAGCCTCTCTTTTAGCCAGCGGAGGCTCATCCCCAGCTCGCCAGCCACCCTCCTCAGCACACGGAAACCCAGACCGGTTCCGACACCCACACCCAGTGGAGGATTTGAGCTCTCCATCTCCCCTACGCCGTCCCGCGCCTTTTGCCCAGCACCAGGCGGGACTCTCTTTGCTCCAGCCAGGGTCCGTCCATCCCTTCCCCTAGGGCATCGGCAGGCCCGGCTCTCACCGTCTCAGGGGCGCCTCTCCTCTCAGCTGGGTGGCGAGCTGACTCTGTGCCGCCCCTGGCCTGTGGCCGCCTGCCCGCCAGCAATCCCGAGCCGTGAGCTCACATCCTGCGCCCGCCGACTCCGCCCGGAGCCGCGTCCCAACCCAGCCAGCCGCGGAGCCGGAGACTACAAGGCCCGGCATGCACAGCACCCTATTAGGGGGTGGGGGCAGAGGCCCCCGAGAGGCTTCTGTGGCGACCGCGCAGGTACTTCCGGCAGCCTTTCCAGCGCAAAGACCTCTGGGCAGACCTCCCTCCCCGCGGGCTCTGTTTCCCAGCAAGCTCTATGGGAAGGGCGGGGGCAAGTGCTTCCGGTGTCAGGGAGTGACGTCGTGGGTAAACAGGCGCTGTAGCCGTGGCAGCGGCAGAGGCTGACCCGTCGAGGCCTAGTTGCTACTGACCGGAGAGAGAAGCAGCCTGCAGACTGCTCTCTGGGCCGCAGCACACCGCCGCTACGGGGCCGGCAGGTAGGACGTGACTTTGGGCTGCGGAACAAGGCGGGCCCGGGCGAGAGGAACGTGACAGGCCCGCGGTCTGAGGAAAGGCAGTCCCAGGCCGAAAGAAACGTCCCGGCTCTTAGGGAGCGGTTTTACATCCTGCTTAGGCCTGGAGTTTGATGCATTGATGCTCGCGACGATGTTATGAGGAAGCTGCGTTCAGGGAGCTCACATAGTTAAGGACAGAGCCAGCTCTGCCGCCCAGGCCTTCCTTTCTGCCCGGTACGCCTTCCACACCCTATGGACGGAGCCGGCTCTTAGTACTTAGCATGGATCTGGGAGACCCAGGGCGCAGGGAGCGTGTCACCGTCCTCATCCTCAGGGAGCATTAGTGCCAGCGCTTGTGCCCAGTGTTCCTCAGGTGCTCGACAGGCGCGTGGTTGGGAGTTGGGAGAGAATCGGATAGTCGGCTACGAACCTTCTCCCTACACCCCTTATGCCATCTTACCCATTCTCGTTAAGGTATTCCCTCCAATCATATGGTTGGCCCAAGCCCGATACCTGGGAATCACGCCTTACTCTGTCCTTAACTCTTTTCCAGCCACCACCTTCAATCAATCCGTTACTAAGTCCTGTCAATCTATTTACAGAACATCTCATCATTTGTTTTCAGCTGCAGGCTGAATAGTTACTGCAGTAGCTTCCTATCTGTTTCCACAGTCGTTCATTCCACAAACATTTACCGAGTGCCAGTTATGTGCAGGCACCATGCTAGGTGCTAGGGTTACAGTGGTGAATGAGGTAGGCATGGCCCGCCCTCTTGTTCCCTCCAATACATTTTCCAGGCTGAGGCAGACTGATCTTTGCATATCTGACTATGTCCCTCTGCTGAGAATCCACTGGCTGCTTATCAGTTTCATGACAACATCCGATCTCATTACTGCAGCTTTCAAAGCCCTCCACTATACAGTTCTAGTCTACCTTTCTGTTCCACTCATCCTTTTGCTCACTGTTTCAATCACACTAGCCTTTCAGTTCTTGGAATGCATCAGATTTCTTACTGCCTCCGGATCTTCACATGTGCCTTCTTTCCTTTTGCCTGGAATGCCTCCCTTCCTCCTCCACTTGACAAACTTTTGGACATCCTTTAGGTCTCCGTTTGACACCCTCCTGCCCCCCATGAATTATATCCTCCTACTGCATCTTCACGTAGCATCATGTACTTGCTTTTCATCATACTGTTATTACAATCTGTGATTGTTTACTGTCTGTCCAGAGGCATTTTCTTCATTGCTCTATCCTGAGAGCAAGGACTCAGTAGATGTTTCTGAATAAATGTATTCTCTCAGGGAAGGGAGTGGAAGTTGAAGGAGGAGTTTACTCCCTCTTGTTAGCTGAATCTTTCTGGAGCAGCTGGTTTGACTACTCACCACCTGGTAGCTCTTAACTACTCAGACTATATGTATAAGAAGAATAAGCAGGAAGACAGATTTTTTTTTTTTTCCTTTTTGTCTTTTTTCGTGACCAGCAACGGATCGCAACCCTCAGTGTTGCGCCCGTACCGGACCAGGACTGGCAACGGGATCGCAACCCTCGGTGTTGCGCCCGCACCTCGCTCAGCCAGTGAGCGGCCGGTCTGTATGTGGGATCCGAACCCTCGGCGGGAGCACTGCTACAGTGTGCCACTGGGCCAGCCCAGGAAGACAGATCTTTTTTTTTTTTTTTAAAAAGATGACTGGTAAGGGGATCTTAACCCTTGACTTGGTGTTGTCAGCACCACGCTCAGCCAGTGAGCGAACCGGCCATCCCTATATGGGATCTGAACCCAGGGCCTTGGTGTTATCAGCAGCGCACTCTACTGAGTGAGCCACGGGCCGGCCCCAGATCTTTTTTAAAAGCCCAATTATAAGGAAGCTGTGGATGATTAAAATATTTCAAAAGGAAGATTCTAACTCACTTATTTTAATGGATTCCAGTGAGGTCAAAGGCCAGAGTCATACACAGACAGCCCATAGAGTTGCATTAGTTGGCCCACACAGTGTTGGATATGAGTTTTTTCCTTTACTTTAAATCTTGAATTAGATACCAACATTTAGGTATCAGATTTCTGGTCCTCTTGAAAATCAGTAGTTCTGGCAACAGTGAAATTTAATTCTATTTCAACTACTGCTCCTCCTGTGGCAAACGTGCTCTGGACCGTCACTCCCAGAATCACCCCATTCAGAACAGGACTTCTCTAAGGAAGCTGAAAGGGAAAACAGGTGAGGCTGGGAGAAGTGGGAGCAGAGGGAAGGGGGCTGGTACAGGGCCAGGTGATGGTAGCCTTTGGAACACATGGGTTTTGGGATTGGCATAGCAGCCAATGGCAAGACCTAAGTAGCATTGCCTACCTTTTTAAACAGGGCATGCACTCTCTGTTTTTCATTACTCGTGTTGTTCTTTTTGAGCCAGAAGAATGGTGAGTTTTCAGTGTTTTCTTCCCAGAACTGAGGCATCCTGTGGACCAGGAGTGCACGGTGGCCTGGGAAGGGTGAAGGTATTTTTGCTGGTTCTCTGTTGCCTACAGAAAAAAATTCAAACTCCTCAGTTTGGCACACAGCGTCTTCCCGATTGGGCTCCAGCCCACCTCTCCAGCCCCATTCTCTTTCTTTTCATCTCCTAGGCAGGGTAAGTCCTTTCAGTGATTTCAGGCCTTTGTCCACTCTGTTTTCTCTGCTTACAATGCCTATCCTTGGCCTCTTAAGTTGGTATGTTCTTGCTGACACTTAATTTCTTTTTGTGTTTGCTGCTAGGAAGAGACTGACCCAACTCTGATTCCCAATTCAGGCAAGTGTACAGTATTCTTTTTTTTTTTTTTTTTGTCTTTTGCCTTTTTCCGTGTCCGGCAACGGATCGCAACCCTCAGTGTTGCCCCCTACCGGACCGGGAACCGGCAACGGGATTGCAACCCTCGGTGTTGCTCCCGCGCCTCGCTCAGCCAGTGAGCGGGAACCGGTCTGTATGTGGGATCCGAACCCTCGGGCGGGAGCGCCGCCGCGCTTCCCAAGCGGTGCACTTATCCAGTGTGCCACCGGGCCGGCCCAAGTGTACAGTATTCTGTAGCATCCATTTCGGGTAATATTATTTCTCTTGGCTTCTTTTGTTATTTTTTTAAACCCTAATTTTTTTTTTTTTTCTTAAAAGATGACCGGTAAGGGGATCTTAACCCTTGACTTGGTGTTGTCAGCACCACGCTCACCCAGTGAGCAAACCGGCCATCCCTATGTGGGATCCGAACCCGTGGCCTTGGTGTTATCAGCACTGCACTCTCCCGAGTGAGCCACAGGCCGGCCCCATAAACCCTAATTTTTAATTCACTCAGATTTCTTCTTTTATTTGCTTTTTGTGTCGTTCAAGTATGTGTATTTGAAAAGCCTTTTTATAACATTTTGGGTACAAACGCAGGTACTTCAAAAAAAAGAAAAAGAATTAAGAGATAATATAAATCTTTCCATGAACTTTTTGAAGATGCTCGTAACTGGGGATATATAAAAATGATTATGGCTCACAACTTAGGTCAGATGTCACTCCTTCACCCTAAGTTAACTGTCCTATTCTCTTCCAGCTCTGTAGTGATATTTCTGTAAAAGCATCTAACACATTATAATTGTTCAGTTTACGCGTCGGTCTTCCTCCAGCTAACCTATGTGCTCCTCCAGGGCGGGCACCATGTTGCATTCATCTTTGTACCCCCACCATCTAGCAGTGTTGGCATGTAGTAGACACTCAGGAAATGTGTGTTGAATGAACGATGCCTGTGACAAGCAACCGGACTTTACTCTTTCCTGACCCTTGCTTCTATGACACACCTCTTCCTGACTGCCACTGTCACCCCTTCAGAGCAGAACTTCTCTAGGAAAGCTGGAAGGGAAACAGGTGAGGCCCAGAGAGGTGGAGGCCGAGGGAAGGGGGAGCCTTCGGAACATCTGGCATTGGTGTCCAGGGGCAGGAGTGGGGCTAGGCTGGAAGGAGGCATTTCCTTGGTGGCTTAGAAGTGATTGGGGGCTTGCTGGTTAGAATGCAGTGCTGATACCACCAAGGTCAAGAGTTCAGATTCTTGTACAGGCCAGCCGTCAAAAAAATTAAGTAAAATCCTGGCTCAGAGGACACAGTCCTTTAAAAAAAAAAAAAAGTAATTGAGGATTGGGCTGGTTTCTCTGCAGCTATGGCCAAGGACATCCTGGGTGAAGCAGGGCTGCACTTTGATGAGCTGAACAAGCTGAGGGTGTTGGACCCAGAGGTCACCCAGCAGACCATAGAGCTCAAGGAAGAGTGCAAGGACTTTGTGGACAGTGAGTATTATTTGGGGAGATATGATGCCACTTAGCTTTGAGCTGTTCCAACTGTACCCCCACTCCCAACTGCAGCTCTTGACTCTGCCAGAATGGAACTGCTGGCTCTCTGGAGGTTGAGCCTGGCCTATGTGAATTACCATGGGCCACCCACCTTGGCTGCCCGACCTCTTATGCTGTCGTGTAGTCCCACAGAGCATCAGTCAAACCAATCATTGGGATGGTGGGTGGGGGAGGGTGTTTTTAGATATGTCATATTTGACTTTTTGCTCTCAGAAACCATAAACTTCATGGAGGCAGAACCATGGCTTGGTGGTGGGAAACAGAACTAAGTTCTCATGATTTGATTTCTTGGGAGAAATAGTGTTCTCAGTGGCAGACTCTACATTATTTGGAGTTAGAGGTGATAGCTGAAGTTTGTAGAAGCAGCTCAACAGACTTAATGAAGTCATCTTTTGGCTGGAGATCTCCAGGAAGCCTCTTGTTCCAGCAGTCAAGCAAGCCCAATGCCAGTAGACACAGAGCCAGGTCTAGCTAGAGCAAAGCATTTCCGGGCCTTCTAGGGGCTCCCTAGGTTGTGGAGAGAGCTTGACTGGTGAAAGTTAGCTTGGGTTCTGTTGCCAGTCTTGTGTGAATGCTGTCCCACTTCTCTGGGCCTTAGTTTCCCCTCAGTAAAATGGGCTTCTGTCACTACAAGGACACTTTAAAAATAGATTAGATACTTAAAGGCTGTGAGCTCTTAATTTGCTCTGGTTATAGGTGGGGAGCCCCCATTCCCACCATTAACTGAAGTCTGGTGTCTTACCTGTGGCTAGTCCAGCGGCAGTGCTCATGTGCTGAGGCGGTCCTTTCATGAACAGTGCTTTGTGCTGCTTGTTGCTCCTGGGGAAACAGGATTGGGGTGTATCCGGAGGATGGGCCTACCAGGGGCCTTTGTAGCCTGAAGTAATGCCGCTCACTGGCTCAGTGGGGTCTCAAGGTCTAGGTATGTCCCCAGCCAGCCACTTTTCTCTACGTTCAGAACAAGGGTGGGAGACTTGGGCCAGCAGGCACCAAATTGTTTCAACAAATTAGAAGGGGCAGTTAGCTTTGCCCCCTAATTGCCTCAGGGGAATGCTGAGGGGGCATGATGATGCTGAGGAAATAAAAAATGTTTTATTTTTTGCCCAAAAGAAATTGGCCAGTTTCAGAAAATAGTTGGTGGTTTAATTGAACTTGTTGACCAACTTGCAAAAGAAGCAGAAAATGAAAAGATGAAGGTAAGATAAGCACATCTTCTGTCTACATCTTGGGGATGGGGGGGGAGGAAGGTCTTTTATTTAATTAAAACAGAATTTTAATAACAATTTCTGGTCTAAGGAGCCTACTGAACTTACATACCAGTACTGTCATTATTTCCTTTCATCTTTACATCAATGGAGATGGGTGGTTGTATCCTCATTTCATAAAGGAAGAAATGAAGGCTCCCAATTGTATAGATGACTTGGCAAAGGGCATAAGGCCAAATAGCACCACCAAATGGGCTACTGAGTACCCATGTGCCTGGCTCTGGGAATATTCCTAGATCTGCCTCAGAGCTGCAGTCCAGTTCTCATCAGGCACTCTGAGATCAGTAGGTTAATCCTCCTGACTTACCTCCAAAGCTTTGGGGCTCCAGTTTCTTTTTCCCGCTGGGCACTGATATAGCTTCCAAATGGCATGTCCCCACTTTGAGGACTTAATGCTGTAGAGTTTTAACAAATAACTTTCTTCGGCAATAATGTGTTTCCTAGGCCATCGGTGCTCGGAACTTGCTCAAATCTATAGCAAAGCAGAGAGAAGCCCAACAGCAGCAACTCCAAGCACTAATAGCAGAAAAGAAAATGCAGCTAGAAAGGTAAGAAGTCATGAGGTAAAGCAAGTTCTTTTTTTTTTTTTTGTCTTTTTGTCTTTTTCTGTGTCCGGCAACGGATCGCAACCCTCAGTGTTGCCCTCGTCCCGGACTGGGGACCGGCAACGGGATTGCAACCCTCAGTGTTGCTCCCGCGCCTCGCTCAGCCAGTGAGCGGAACGGGAACCGGTCCGCATGTGGGATCCGAACCCTCGGGCGGGAGCGCCGCCGCGCTTCCCAAGTGGTGCACTATCCAGTGCGCCACCGGGCCGGCCCATAAGCAAGTTCTTTACTCAACTGAAATTCCTTCTCTAATGATCATGTCTTGTCCCTATTCTTCCTCAGTTTTCCCAGGAATAGCATCTAACTTGTCATCCTGACTTGAAGATTTTAAAAATAAAATATTTGTTAGTAAGGAAATAGAAAATTTGTTAATATCAACCGACCTCTGGTGGTTGGAGCATGAAAGTTCAGGTAGCAAGGGTCCACAAAGTTGGCTTGTTCTCTGAAAGCAGGCTTTCTTAGGGCTGGAAATTTCTCATGGCAGCCCTGGGTAGGGTGCCTCTATCTTTCGTATTCCTCTTTCTTTATTCTAAACTTACACCATTTCTTGGAATCATTTAAACCTCTACATTCTTCTCTAGAAGTGTCTGTGGTTTATTTCACCCTTTTTCAGGGCTTCTAATAATTTTGTTTTTCAGGTATCGGGTTGAATATGAAGCTTTGTGTAAAGTAGAAGCAGAACAAAATGAATTTATTGACCAATTTATTTTTCAGAAATGAACTGAAAATTTCATTTTTATAGCAGGAAGGCCAAAAAAAAAAAAAAAAAAAAAGACACCTCCAAACCAAAACCCTCTGTACCATTCCAGTGACCTGACTAACAATCTAAGTATGTCATGTGAGATGGCGTGGAAGGCACACAGCCCTCTGAAGGCAATACTGCAAGTCTGGGGGAGCTTGTTTTAAATGTTGGTGGCCACAGTGCAGGTTCTTACCTCTTGCGTTCTTAGTCTGAACTAAGCACTCTGTAAACTTTTTTTTTTTTTTTTTTTGTAAATTCATAAACTTTTGGAAAGAAAAGCAATGAATTACTGTTTTCAAATGGCTGGATCTACCTTTTTTGCCTGGTGTCTGTGAAGTATGTTTAACACTGGATTCTCTAGCTCCTAATCCACAAAACCAACCAGGCAGGTGTCAGCAGCTACCTTTTATTTGGACCAGATGCACGAGTCAGACAATACCACCAATAATCAGATCAATATAAGCTGTAAGCAAAATGGGCAAAAACAGAGAGAACTGACTAGACCTGTTGTCTACCATCTTATTTTTCTTTTTTAGGGTTGGCCTTGAGCAGATTTAGACAAAGCTAACGGAACACCAAGCACTAAGGTGAAGAAACCCTATATGTACACACTGGGCATGTCATGCCTGGCTGTCCCCCATCCCCTCTACTGAGAACAAGATAGGAATGAATAAACTATTAGGAAGGATGAAGGTATTCATTAGGCAGCACACTCCCAAATCAGGCTTGACACGCCAGACTTCAAGAGTAAAGGGACTTGTGTCAGCTGGTTTCTAAAAACATGGAAAACTAAGATTTGGAAACAGGAAGATGAACAAAGTGACCTTTAAAAAATCTCTTCTCCAGGCAGAGCCCGTGGCACACTTGGGAGAGTGCGGCGCTGGGAACGCAGTGGCGCTCCCGCCGTGGGTTTGGATCCTATATAGGGATGACCGGTGCGCTCACAGCACTCACTGGCTGAGCGCAGTGCGGCCGGTCTCAAAAAGGACAAAAAAAAAAATCTCTTCTCCTGGAAGGTGTGTTTAAGACAGAAACAAAATGCCTTCTAGTTTAACCCATTTTTTTTTTTTCCTTTTTTTTTGTGACTGGTAACGGGATCACAACCCTCAGTGTCGCGCCCGTACAGCGACCAGCAACGGGATCACAACCCTAGGTGTCGCGCCCGCACCGCGCTCAACCAGTGAGCGGACCGGTCTCTATATGGGATCTGAACCCTCGGTGGGAGCGCTGCCACATTCCCAAGCGCTGCACTCTACCGAGTGCACCACCGGGCTGGCCCCTAGTTTAACCCATTTCTGACTGAAAGTCATGCCAGGGCTGAACCTTAAGGAAAACTAAACTTAAACGTCTTTTGTATATTTTCTTTTTCCAGGTATAGAGGTGGAGGCAAGAAAACACGACATAGTTTTTAATGAATATTTAGATGGCATAATTTCAAATTCTAAAATGGCCCCAAACATCCCTCTATTCATTTTGCTGATTGGTGACATGCTATAGAATCATGAGCCACGGGTTTAGTCATGTGTATATATGAGGGTACTTCAAAAAGTTCATGGGAAGATTTATATTATCTTTTTTTTTTTTTCTTTTTGTCTTTTTTCATGACCGGCAACGGATCGCAACCCTCAGTGTCGCGCCTGTACCGGACTGGGACCGGCAACGGGATCGCAACCCTCGGTGTTGCTCCCGCACCTCGCTCAGCCAGTGAGTGGCCGGTCTGTATGTGGGATCCGAACCCTCGGCGGGAGCGCTGCCGCACTTCCCAAGCGGCGCACTGTAGCAGTGCGCCACCGGGCCGGCCCTATATTATCTTTTAATTCAATTTTTCCACAGACTTTCTGAAGGACCTTTGTATACTGTGGGTCGAATGACTCAAACATGTCAAGCAGGCCATGTTCTTGGAAGTTTATCTAGTTTCTGGTCTGGTTCTGCTTTCGCAATCCTGAAATGGAACTTAGGCCCATACTGAGGTATTTGGCACCACTTCCCTCTAACCTAGATCACACCTCTCTGCTGGTCGGTCTGTTCATCCCAGTGCCGCTGGAAGTTAAGGGTCATGTGGCTCCTGCCATTATCTTGCTCTTGTGCGTTGCTGCTGGTGTGTTTCAAATGCTACTGAAAACATGGGTTCTGAGCAGTTTTCTTTGTATTGGGTCTAATAGGCAACTGCCCTGTAGGCATCTCTCCCCACTGCCAGTGGTTGTTTCCCTCATTTTTTCTTTCTTTTCTCCTCATTCTTGTAGTAGGGGCTCCGCAACATGAAAAGGAGTAGTATGAGAGGGATGATTAAGTAGGGGGCATAGACAGATATAAGAGTCAGTCGTTCATGGAAGGTCTCAGGTCTTTGTCCTTTGAGAACACTGGCTTTGGAGAAATCCTCAAGTAGAAATGTGGAGAGAATTGGAATTAAAGTTGTCATGGTATGAACTGAGTAGATGATGGCAGGGATACGGATCCACCTGCAGCTTCCTGAAGTAGAAGAGAAAACAAGGTGAGGTCTGTTCACGACATTCTCCACCCTGTCTCTGTTTGCCTGTTCCCTTCAGTCAAATCATTCTACCCCCTTCTCCAAGTGGAAACTCAGAACAAATGGAAAACTGTTGTGTTATACTGCCCAACATGCAAACTTATGTGACAGCTGGGACCCCAGCTTACTGTCAAAGAACCAAGGGTGGAGGTGGGAATATAATTCAGAAAAAGTAGGGCAATAAAACTACCATTACCAGTTAAACTTGTTTGGTCTAAAATGCAAGAGGAGAAGGAATCCCTGCCCCACAGAATCTGTTTGTTAAGTAATTATATATATGTGAGAGGATCAAGAGATGGGTTCAGTGACTCCAGGGAACTCCAGTGGGAAATAAGCTTTTTCAGCTGTACAAGCTTAGTTACCAAGCACACAGGTATGGCCACCTTCTTTATAAAAACATTAATTATATGAGAACACCATAAGAATTTTTAAATAAGAAGTTAAGCCATTTAGGAATTAGCTTGATGCTACTGCTTATAAGTCAGTATGTTACTATCCAAAGCAGGAATATAAAAGCCAACCATAAAAGAAGTTAATTCTGTGGGGAAAAAAAGCAAAAGGGAATAAGTTCATCCTTTAAGTGGACTCAGGTTTCATGTACACGAGAGAGATTTCCAGAAAACTGAGGCAGCCATGCAACCCAGCTGACCACAGACATTAGCCTGAGCCACACTAGTGTCTTTACAAGATCTGTCCTGGCTATTTCCACCAGATCCTATGGTGCCCTCACACAAACTACAGGGATCACTTTCTACTCCCTTGGAGATATTTTCCCATAAGATTTCTGGACCCTGATTTCTGAGCAAAAATGGGATCTTACCAACCTTTGAAGAAGGCATACATTGCAACTGGAAAGAAAGGCAGCTGAAACACAAGCTCGCAAAACAGGAAGGACTTAAACCATGCTGGGGGATCCTGTAGCAGGGGGTCTTTGAATTCCTTAGCATACCACTTCAGCAGGTTTCTAAACTGAAAAAAGATAATGATCATGATGAATTACAGCCACCTGGCCTGGACAGCCTCAGCCGCTCCAACTCATTTGAAGAGTCTCTCATTAACCAGCCCCCTTGGCAGCAGATGGCACATACCCAGCTGGCTTTTGTTATACAGCCTAGGTAGTCATTTGATAAAAATTCACTAGCTCTAAAACTCAAATGTTACCTTCTCTGTGAAGTTCTCCTCAACTCTTCCAGCCCCTTCTTTGTGGTACCCAACATTTGTTCATAACTTCATGATATATATCCAGGTGTGTTGTCCACTGTCAAGAGCACACAACATACCTTGCACTTAGGCTCTCCAGATGTTGCTGAATGGAACAAAGGAGACATTTTCGCAAACAATATCATTCTTTGTAAAGAAATGATAAATGTGAAAACAATCCTGACATTTTTCCTTTCACAGCAGCCAACAGTACACCAAACTCCAAAGGCCAGATTCTCTCACATACCGAAATGGGGCTGGCCCGTGACTCACTTGGGAGAGTGTGGTGCTGATAACACCAAGTCAAGGGTTAAGATCCCCTTACTGGTCATCTTAAAAAAAAAAAAAAACCCCAAAATGAATTTCTTTTTGTGAGGTTTGGGGGTATGTGTGTGTGGAAGCGGAGGTAAATCTATCTACTGTGGAGATGTAATTTTATACATTTTAACTCTAATATGGCAAATATGCTCCTTATTATTCTTAATTCCTTTGATTCTAATTATTTTCTCTTAGGACAGCAGTAGGATATTTGTGGAAGAACAGACTGTGCTCCAAACTACAAATTATACAACTTCTAGGCTATGGCAAAGCTTGAGAGTTAGTGGTCTCAATTCTAGCTTGGTCCCCACCCTTGTAATTACCCTGTCAGATAAAAAGATGCAGATCCATGTTGACATGGCCACAGGCAGAAGAAAGAAGCAGTAGTTTCAGGTTGCCCAATTTGTGCTTTTACAGGAGCCCAAAGGGCCTACATGGACTACTGAAGGCCTGTTGTATTTAACCTCCTGGAGGTGGCCTTGTCCTCACACACATGCCTTCAAAGCCAAATAAATGTCTTGTTATGATAAATAAGGGCAACTTCAAGGTAAGAATTTATCTTACAATGGAAAATCCAAGGATATTTTTCCTGTTAATTTTTAATCAAAAGATAAAGGCTCACTATTGTGAAATAGAGGCCTTATTGCTGCAAGCAAGCTTTGAGCAAATATCCAGAAACAAACGTTCTGTTAGCAAATATTTAATTTCAGAAAGGCTCGGCTAGATAACCAACTTATTGACCAAATGATCTCTAATTCTTTACTTGAAATTTAAATTCATAGCAATACCCTTTGCCTCCTAAGCACTTTTCAGGATACTAACATGGTTGGAAATACTCATAAAGGTGAAGTCACTGCCCCTCTCCAGGGCTCTATTTCCTTATTTGTAGAATGAGCAACGTGGACTAATTTTTTTTTAAGGTCCTTTTCTGCTTTTTAGATTTACTTTACTGGAGGAAACTATCTGCTGTAAAAGTTTTACTGCAGAATTTAAAAAGCATTCTGGTCTACTTTGTATACAATTGTCTATTCAATTTGAATACAGTCTCTCAGATCCACCTGTTTCATAAATTGAGGCAGACTTGTACAGCAATGTAATTTCTAAGGGCTGTACAATGAGATTAGAGAAATTTTAAAAATCAGCCAGCTCTTGTAGTAATCAAATAGGACCCAACCACCTGATGACAGGAAGCGGTCTGGATTAAGGGTGGGTGGAAGAGAAGGCCCAGCCACCCCCAAGAAGAGTGGTGAGGAGTATGGGACCTGTGGACAGAGAGCCTGGCTCTGGGCGAGGCTCTTAATCTTGCTAAGCTTGTTTCCCCATCTGTACCTACCTCACTGTTGGTAAGAAACAGTGAGTTAACACAAGTACATTTAGAACAATGGCTAACATGTAAGATTACTTAATTGAAGGTACCTGATGCATATTTAGAGATGTTCAAGTTTAATCCTATTAACTTGCCATTAATTATTCATATTAGTTAAGACCACCCAGAAAGGCAATAAAACTGTTTCCATTTATACCTGACTCACATTTGACTCAACTCACCACCGTTATCCATTAAAGGATTTACCTGGCCTGCACACATGGCTTTCTAAACCAGGGGTTGCTGCTGAAAACCTTGCACTACTTTAATTTAGAATGAGAACACAGGCTGATTTCAGATCCCGATACTCATCTGTTTTTCCTTATTTTAACAGAAGCAATGTTAACCAGTTCCAAATGATACTAAAAATGCTTCCCATCTTTTTTGGTTTTTTGGCAGCTGGCCAGTATGGGGATCCTAACCCTTGACCTTGGTGTTATAACACCACACTCTAACCAGTTGAGCCAGCCCCCCTCCCATGTGTTAATCCAAACTAAATTCTCTCACTGTTTCATAATAAGAGTTTTTCCAAATGTTGATTTGGTTCGAACCAAGGAAAAATTGTAATTTGCAAATTTTAGCCCAACCACTATGTAATCTCCCACAGGTTTTTTAGTTCTAGGGAAAAATTCCATCTATTTAGGGAGGGAAAACAACAGATGTTAAATTTTGGCACTTCTCAAAGTGAATCTGAGAATAACTCACAGTTTTAATATTATTATTTTCCCACTATAGAAACAACAAAACCATCATTCCCCACCCAAAGCAACAAGAATGAATAGAGAAACATGTCTTTCAAGCTGGGATGTGCCCACCCTCCATGCTAATTAATGCCTACAAACAGTTTCTGCCAGATCCTGCCTGCACTGGCTCTTAGCCTCTTTCAGTAAGTCAACATTAGAAAAAATAAAGCATGAACTGACCAGTTAGCTCACTCAGGAAAGTATGGTACTGGTACCACCAAGGTCACGGGTTCAGAACCCCATACCAGGCAGTGACCAAAAAAATCACGTAAAATTTTACCAAATCAAGTATATACGTTTAAGTGGGGTGTTTATGATGCTGGGCACATTTCAATTGTAGTCTGTGCATGGTGATCAAGAAGGACTTGTGGGAATGGCACATTCAGAAAGGATAGAAAACAGCTAAGTCTAGAAAGGCTACATGGAGTAACATGCTAATTACTAAGTATGAAAGGGACCCATAACATCCACGATTGTGCACAGGCAGACTGCCTAAGTTTTGCTGGCCATACAGTTTTCAAAAACCACAAATGGCAATAGTAGGCTCTCCTTTCTTTGGGATAACTAATGGCTAGTACAGAGCTGTGATGACCTCTGTAGAGAGTATGTACTATCTGGCCCTATGTGGCAGGCTGAATAATGGCCCCCAAAGATAATCCACGGAGTCTGTGACTTTATTTAGCAAAAGGGACTCTGCAGATATGATTAAGTTAAGGATCTTGAGATGGGAAGATTTTCATAGGTTATCTGGTGGTCCCTAAATGTATTGCAAGTGTTCTTATAAAAGTGAGGCAGAGAAAGATTTGACAACAGAAGAGAAGACGGCAATGTGAAAACAGACTGTAGTGATGCAACCCTAAGCCAAGAAACACTGGGAGACACCTCAAAGTGTAAGAGCAAGGAACAGACTCTCCCCTAGAACCCTAAGAAGGAACCAGCCCTTCCAGTACTTTGACTTTAGATTTTTGGCTGCTGGATGATATAGGAATCCAAACTTTTGACCTTGGTGTTAAAACACCGCGCTCTAACCAACTGACAACCAGCTTTGATTTTAGCCCCTAAACATTCGTTTCAAACTTCTGACCTCCAGAACTGTAGAGTAAATTTGTCACAGCAGCAATAAGAAATTAATACACCCTGTAAGTGTTTGAACTTATCATTTAACCCAACTCTCAATTGACAGTTGAGGCTACAGAGGCCTGACTTGCCCAAGACACTCAGCCAGTTCTTGGAAGAACAAAGTCCCCTAACTGCAGTCCAATGTTCTTGCCACACACCACCTACGATTTTCCCATGGAAAAGGAGATCTGAGGTCTTCCCAGTTATGCTTGGTTAGAAGCATACAGAAAGGAGATTTATGGCAGTGGGGACACATTGTTGAGCAGTGGCTCTTAACCTTTTTGGGAAGGTGAGACTCCTGGAAAAGTTGATGGAAGCTATAGATTCTCCTCCCTGAAAACAGAAGGGACACGCAACACCACTGAGAGTTGGTGGACCTCAGGATAAGAATCCCTGCTCTTCAGAGAAAAAGTATTTTAGGAGAAACAGGCAAAATCAAATCTTTAGGCAGACAAGTTAGTGTTGCTCACAGTTCTACAGACAGGTTGGAGATGCATGGAACTGAGGACAGGAATTCCACATTAGGTTTACAGGGTCCAGATAAAAATAAACCAGGAAACTACAATTGTATCTCCGAAAGAAAAAAAAAAAAAAAGCATTAAAGCAAAGTTTTAGGTAAAGAATGCTCTCCAACAACCAGGAAATGGAGCTTTTCACCGTTATTTCTGCTCAGGTGATCATTCCTACTCGAATCCAATTAAAAGGGCCTACTTGAAAAGGTCTTATTAATTTACTCCTGAGCTTTTGAAGTTGCTGAATGAAACTTGAAGAAGTGAATGCCCAAGCAACACCAACCAAGGTGCTAAAACTTTGGATGGTCTAATTCTACTCCAGTTTTTTCTTTGGGATTAGACGTATTTAAAAGCCCTTCCAAAAAACAAACTTTAAAACAAATCCAACACGTGATTTTACACGCTGGTTCATCCAGACTATGTCCCTCAAACACTTGCCTAGAGGTGGAATTGTGGGAGCCTTAAACATACCCAGGATTAGAAATAACTTTAAAGGGAAAGAAGCATCTGCCCCTTGCAGCCTGAGAGAAGGGTCTGGGATAAAGAAAAAGCCAGAGGAAGCCGTCGCGTTGAAGCCAGTTACGGAGGGAGCCGGAGGATGGGAAGGACAATGGGGCAGAACTGGAGCCGTGGGTGGGCGAGGTGGGAGCGGAGGAGGGGAGGGCCTGTGGGTCGCGAAGGCGCAACCGCAGGGCGCGGAGGGGCCTCCGGAGACGCGGCGAGCGGCGGGCGGGACCGACCGGGCGCCCCTCACCTCGACCGGGTAGAGTTCGGGCGGCAGCACCACCTGCAGGTCCATGAACAGGGTGATGGGGATGTGAGAGAGGAAGTAGAGGCCCAGCAGCCACTCCACGCAGCGCCTGGCCGCCATCGTCCGGCGGTTGGGCGGGCAGGAGGAGACGCCGCGCTCGCCGACACCCATAGTACTCAGGAGAAGGGCCGAGACCGCGCGTCTTCCCGGGGCCCCGCGCCAGCGCAGCCGCTCCACCCCGCGAGGCCTCCGCCGGCGCGCCCATTGGCTGGCGGAGAATCAGCACGCAGGCGGGGGGGCGCCCGCAAACCGTTTCCATTGGCCGCCGGGAACGGGGCGGGGACGGGGCGCGCTGCGTGTAGATCCCAGACGCGGGAGGTAATCGCCGGCGCGGTGCGGTGGCGGCAGGCGGCAGGTGGCGGCAGGTGGCGGCAGGCGGCGGCCCCCTTCGCCCACGGTCCTTTCACTCACTCGGTCCGTGTGGTACGGACAGCGCCTACAATGAGGTGGCAGGCCGGACGGCGCGTTGTGCCGGGGTTCAGGGGTCCTGGAAGCCTGCCGAAGGATGCATAAGAGGTAGCCAGCCTCAGCTCAGAAAGAAGCAGAGGGAACGAGGGATTAGGAGGGAAAATGGACAGGACTTGGTGACTGGCTGTGGAGAACGAGGGAAGATCAAGGATTCATTTACTCTTCCAGCAGATGTTGATCTTCTGCTCTATGCTGGGCCCACGTCTGTCTTGGGACAGGATGGATGGGGCTGCCATTCGCTGAGAAGAGAGGAGACGGGGGGGAGTGAGTTCAAGGGCAGGTAATTTGGTTTTGGCCATGTTAACACTGAGCAGTCTGCAGCATCTCAGTGCAGGTGGCTAGTAGGCAGCTGGATGAACCTGTTTGGACAAGAGGATTTCTGAGGCATCAGCGTTTGATGGGAGTTTTGAGAGCAGAGGATCTAGAAGTGATCCTAGAAAAGCTCCAACCTCAGGGGTCATGGGAGGAGGGCACTGAGATGGAGATGGACAAGGAGTCCCAGGGAAGGAGAGAGGGTCAGGCCATCCGTGGCCCTGTTGAGAGCAGTTGTGGTGTGGTGGGGGCAGGGCGAAGAGTGAGGAATTGGGGAAACGAAGGCAAGGAATGTAGACGTCTGGTCATGAACGGGAGGAGAGATAATGGGGCAGTAGCTGGAGAGAGCTGTGTTCCAGAGAGGGTGTATTTATTTTTCATATGAGTGAGACTTGAGCTTGCTTACATGCTGTTTCGAGTATCTGGACAGGGAAAGAGGTAGTTCTTACAGGAGGAAGAGAGCAGGAAATGTGGCTCAAGGCCCCCAAGAAGGTGGAGGGAATGGAAGGATTAGGGTTAGGTCAGAGGTAGTCTGTGCTCCTCCACAGGGGGCACCATGGGATGAGGACAGAGGGCCCACTTGAGGTGAGTGGCCATTGATCCTGGAAACCCCAGTCTCCTAGGCTGTATGTTTTTCTCCACTGTGGAGTCTGCTCAGAAAAAGGCTGTTAGACTCATCCAGAGTTGGGGTTTAGCAAGACAAGGATGGTTTTGACAAGTTGAACAAGAGGGTGGTTGAAGTGATGGAAAGTGCAGTTCAAGCTGGACAGGGAGAGACATGAGGCCAAAGAGGGCTGGAGATTGGGAGAAGTTGGAGAAATGAATGGATTAGAGGCCTTGCCGAGGAGATGTGCTAGTATGATGGCAGTCACTGGGCCAGTGGGTGTCAAGTTTTGGAGATTATGACAAGAAGGTTCAATGTCTGAATTCCTGGTGTCAGGAAGAGATTCTGCCCATGGGAGGGTGTGGCTGAAATGGAGTGGAGGGGAAGGTCTTTGGAGATGAGGTCAAGAGACAGCCCAAAGGCCCCCTAGGATGGTGATGGTGATTGGATGGAGAGAAGGCTGATATATAAAGGGAGTAATCTGGAGGAAGGTGGGCATGGGCTGAGGTACGGCTTAAACCTCAGAGAGTGGAGGGGAGATCATGTGGATGTGGCCTTGGGGAGCAGGGAGGCTGGTGACCCTGACCTCAAAGAGTTGAGAAAATGAACAGACCATGCTGGAGAGGGCTGTGTTGTTTACCGGGGGGAGGGTGTTTACCAGGGGAGGATAGTCAGAGCAGGAGACACAGCAAGAGAAGGACGTGGAGGCTCCTTCTGGGGTGAAGAGCAAGGGATGAACAGCATACGTTGCTGAGCATTGTGAGAACATGAAGTTCTGCTAACCCCTGGGCTTCTCAGGTCAGCCTTGCCCAGGACCTCAGAGCTGGCAACCAGAGCGAGAGAGGGATGTTCAGTGCTGTTCTTCTTGCTCCAAGGGGGTGACCGTGCTCAGGGGAGAGAGCTGTTTCCCCTGCACAGGCGCTCAGGCAGGGAAGACTCAGAATTAGCTGCTGCTTCTTCCAGAAAAAACAAAAGGCCAGTGCCTTGGGGAGCCTTAGGTTACCTAAGTAGAGAGCCTTTTTTTTTTAGGAAGTAAAGCTTTACAGGTAAGTTCCTCCTTCCAGGCCTCTACTCTGGCCTCTAGTTCTATATATATAGCTCCCCTCTTTCTCCCTTCTTGAAACCATTCACTTGAAGGAGAATATGAAGAGCTGGGAGGACCGTTATAGATAATCTAGGGCTTACCACTGCATGAAGAAACTCAGGCTTGGAGAGGTATTTGTCCCAGGTCACAAAGTGAGTGACACAGCAAGGATTAGAACTCAGTGTCCTAACTCCCAGCCCTAGGCTCTAATAGGGTCTGAATGGCATTTAGTTCAGGTTCTGTGCCTGGGACAGAGCAGCTCCCTCTCCCATAAGTCTCCAGGCCCCTCCAGACCAGGACCAGGGCCCAGGAGAGGCCTGGTCAGGCTGGAACACTGTGTACATGGCTGTACTCGAGAGGGCCTGGCTACTGTGTGTTCCCACCCCCCAACACCCAGAATGGCTTTAAGAACGTGGTAGCACCTTTTAATATACAGAGTACAGACCCTGTACTCCATGTTGATTATAACTGTGTGGGGTTCCTAAGCTGGGCTTTGCCCAGGAAACATGGTAAGTGAACAGCTGTTAATGTGACTGCTCCTCAAAAAAACATCCAGCCAAGTATATTACCTGTAGATAAAGATTTTCAAGGTAGACACTTCACTGGAATGCCCCTCCATCCCCAAAAATCTGTCCAACAAAAAGAAAAAAAATTCTATCCAGCTGCTGTCTTCTGTTTGAAATGCCTGTAGTGGGGGAACTGCAGCTCTGAATTTATGTGGTCAGATAAATCTTAGAATCCAAATGGCCCTGGGAGAGGCCAATTAAGGAGGAAGAGGACATGACTAATCTGCAGTCATTGCCCAAAGCACCTGTTGAGGGACAGAATGACTTCCCTGTCCTGATGAGAATCGTTAAGTTAGTGCCTTTTGAAAATTATTTGTATTGAGATGAGATAGATATCATTAGTCCAACAGTGGACCCATGGTGGGAGAAAGGGAATTCTAGCATCCTCATAAGCCCAGCTGGAAGGTGTGTGAAGGCCTGTGCCAGACTGGCCACTTTCCTCTGGTAGCAACTGTACAAAGCTCTTTCCTCTCTCCTCTGCTTTTGCTTCACTTTCCTCTCTACTTAAAATGCACCCACCCTTCACACTCCACTCCTGCCTTCTCAACTCTTCATCCCTGTATTTTATAGCCTAGTCAAAGGCCAGCCCCCAGTTGCCTCCATTTGGTGGCACTGCTACCTCTGAACCTCTGTGGCACTCTATGTCTCTGAAAGTTTGTCCCTTTCCACCCTGGGCAACGCTGATCTGAGTACGTGTCTCTGGACATGTTTCCCACTAGACTGTGGGTTCCTTGAAAACAAAGACTGTGAGGGGCCGGCCTGTGGCTCACTTGGGAGAGTGTGGTGCTGATGACACCAAGGCCACGGGTTCGGGGCCCTGTATAGGGATGGCCGATTGGCTCACTTGGGAGAGCGTGGTGCTGACAACACCAAGTCAAGGGTTAAGATCCCATTACCGGTCATCTTTAAAAAAACCCAAAAAACAAAGACTTAAGCATCCTGATTTTACTAACAAAATGGGGGCTCATTGTTGAGTAAACTAAATATGAAAGTCAGACTCCTCTGCTATGTGCAAACTGTCACCTAGTATAACAGAAGGGAACACCTGGTGTAAGAACAGCCAACAAATGGCACAATGTAGATATATTTCAAGAGGCTTTGCTGCTATGGAAAATGATAAGACCTAGAAAGCCACTGTGGCTCCAATCAGCAGATAGCTTCACACCTCAAAGCCAAAATATTAGATATTCATTAACAAAAGCTAAGATTCTGTCAGTGCTGGAGGCACAGCAAGGGGGTTGTATTGAGAGATTCAGAACGATCTCCTTTGAGATCTATGGGTTTCACCCAAGGCACTGGGCAGTCTTAAAAGCAAGTTGCTTTAAAGGCAAGAAAAAGCCATGTAGAAGGAATGATAGAATAGGAAATCACTATTTTCCAACCACTAACATAATAAATAATTGGGGCAAAGATCATCAATAGATGCCATTGGATGAAAGTTTATTGTTATGTCTCAAAACATCTCTCTACAGACCACTTATTACAAAAGGAAGACTTATGAAGAGATCTGGCAATCACAACCTTGAGGCTTTCCAAAAACGTTTAACCTGAATCTAAACATGAAGGAAACAATCAGATAAATACAAATCTTTGTGGGACATTATAGATTACAGTTGGCCATGCACCTTCATAAATGCCAATGTCATGAAAGAAGAAAAGGTAGAAGGACTCTCGTATATTAAAGGATGTTAAAAAGACATGACAACCAAATGCAAGATGTGATCCTTAATCCTAAATTGAAAAAAAAAAAAAATCACCTATAAATAAAATTTTGGCAGCCTGGCTGGTTAGCTTAGTTGGTTAGAGCATGGTGTTGTAACACCAGGGTCAAGGGTTTGGATCCCCATACTGGCCAGCTGCTGAAATAAAAAAGTAAAATAAAATGAAATAAAATTTTCAGGGAAAATTGGAGAAATTTGGTATGATAATGGAATTGTAGTTATATGGGATAATGTCCTTGTTTTTAGAAGATACATACGGGTGAGGTTTCATGTTCTGTGAAAACAAAAAAGTACATATATTTGTATGTACATAAATGTACACACATATATACATGTTTGTATATAGAGCAGGGAGG